CATCCGCTTAATGGTGTAAAACTTAGACAAGTAAAACAGATGGAGCTCCAGTTTTATAATTGTGTTTACAGCTCACAAAGTGGCAGCTTGGCATCTTTCACAGAGTTGGAGGTTTCTTCATCTGCGGCATCCACAGATAAATCTCTGCAGCACTGAATATCAGAAGGAACCAAGTATCAAGTATCTCATCATTATGTGAATAAGATGAAAACATTCACATTGCTTTTATGTGACATTTGACAGAAGAAGTAACACATTATTTATCTTACAAATAAAAAGCTACATTTATAAGCAATATAGCACTTAAATACGAGGATTTTGCTACTGCAGCTTCTTGGTCTGAGCAGCAACTTAGTGGCTAATAGTAGCCTAGCTAATTGTGGTTAACTTTTATTAGTCTGTTTGTTCTTTACTTGTGTAAGTGTTAATGTGTGTTCAGACCAAATGGGAAGTTAATGTTTCCACAATCAAGCATAAAAACCTTTCCCCCAATTTCCCCCAGGTTTTTTTTTTTTTTTTTTTGTGCAAATTGAAAGTGCGCATAAAAACAGGTGGAGGTAAAAACATACTTTGGGACATTAGTGCAGCTAGTTTCTTTTTCAGCGGAAAATTTAATTACGTTTCATGCTGGAGTGCTCTTGCTTTTTATATGCCGACTGTCAGTGATGGTGCAAGCCTCGCTCGCCGCCAGCTCCTCCATTTAACCCTGCACCGGTCAAAGTCGAGCACCACTCATCTCATCTCTGTGGAACTGGCCCATTAAAACACAGCTTGTGGCGAGTGTCGGCGAGAGGTGCGGTGTGAAAGATGAGAGCAATAACAGAAAAGAAGCACATCAAATCGCACCAGTAGTCGACCCCTGGGGTGTGGATTGAATTGGTGCGTCGTCCGAAGCTCTGGAAGGAGAAAAAGCTTCAACGTGACGTCACTTTACAGACTTCTCCCCTGAGTTGTATTATGGGAGCTTATGAAGACACCCTTCCCTTGCAGAACGTTACATGTGTATAACAAAAAAAAAAAAAAAAAAAATTACAGCTGGGGGCCTGGAGGCATGCAGTGTGATTTGTGCTGAGGCCATGGAGAATTACAGTCACATTAGAGATGTCCTCTGGGCTTCACTTGCACGCTCTGTGAACACTAGCCCTGTAGGCAGCTAAGTGTTCGAGCCGGCGCACGCTCAGCAGCACCGCAGTGTTGCGCTTAAAAAAAAACCCAGAGCAATAAGTCTATTTTGAAGGAGAAAGTATGGGGAGACGCATGTCATTTACACATCAGTGTATCTTATCAGTGCACGTCAACTCATTTTTTACTTTTGTACCGATGTTAGCCAGCCAGCGAGATCAATGATTATAAATGATTAATTTGTGAGTTATGACTCGCTGCCCTGTTTCCTCCCGCAGACACTAAATCACAGAGGGGGAAAAGCAAACCTAGGTGCTGATTAATTCAAACATTAATTCTCCTTACAACAAGCCTCCCAGTCAGCTTTAAATAGGCCCATTGTTCAACTGAAATTCGCTCTCACAAGGCGCAGTCGTCTTTTCATGGTAGTGTTCTTGTCAGTGAGTCACCAATTAATTTGGTGCATTCTGGAGGACTGGCCGATGGCAAGTAGTTGCGCACCAATCACATGTATTGCAAGTTTGTTTAAACATGAAGATTTGACCTACATGCAGTCTGCGTGGACTTTACTCGAGACGCTGACAACAAATCTGATCACTGCATGTAATCAATTAACTTCAGATCAATTAAAACTCATTTTTGAAACTGCAACAAACACCTTCTTCTAATTGCATGTGTTGGCCCGAGAAGGATCCTTCCTCCGTTTAGCGCTGGTTGCATGTCAGCCAGCAGTCAAAGTGATGAGGCAGAAGTCAGCGCCTTTACCGGATGAAGAGGTCACGGCCATGCTTAGAGGGTCAGGAGAGCTAATTAGACAGAATGAATGACGGGGACCTGAGGGGCTAAATGCAATTACCAACAGCGTGAAAGGCATAAGTAGAGGAGATAAACCCTTGAGATATCAGCTGATGAAAGTTTAAATTCTTTAACTTTAAGCCCTGAAATACCTGAAGTTAGAATCAAATATATGCAGTGCTGTTACTATACGTGGGTAGAGCTTGGAGATAGTGGGAAGCTCGCCACACAAACAGCTTATTGCTCATTACTACACAGCACACACTTCAGTAAATGTTAATGCATCAGAGGTGTTTGCAGGGATGAATATGTCTCCCTTCTGTCAGCGTATTTATTGACAATATGACAACTACAATGACTATGTAAAAATTTGCCTGCCTGCCAAATTAAATGATGAGCTATGAAGCCGCGGTGAACCGGGGTAACAAGGATCACCTGCTCCTAAATATATACATCCCCGTCTCAGCAGTCGCTGCAAGATGATTTGGACTGAGCCTGCAGACGGCAGAATGTCACTTCAAGCACGTCTGGAGAGTGAAGCAGCCTGAATAATCATTATAGCCTGTTCAGCTCTTTCCCCCCAAAAAAAGAGGAGCAATAAGCAGAAGAAGTGGCGGTGCTGCGTTTTTCATGTTGTCTGTTTGATTGTTTGATCCAGGATTAAAGATGCACGGGAAACCCAGATGGCTGTCTCCGCTTGGTCTGCTTCCAAAGACTGTCACCGTTGGAAACAACTGGGACTCCCTTAATATCTTGGCAGTGTATAGGAAGGATGTCTAGAGGAATTTAAATCTGCAGAAATAAGACCGGGGTTGACACTTAGCAGTGTCTGAAGGCACAATGGTAACAAGGGCAACAGGGCATAAATGAACCCCTAAAGAAAAATCTCAAAATCAAGAACATTTGCTCATAGTCAGCTTGTCTGGTTTGTGATATAAACCACACTGACATTCAAACAATAAAAAATGACAAAACTTGAATGGATACCATGCTTATCCCACACAAGACTGTTGACAGTGTTGTCTGTTTCTGTGCATGGCTCATTAAATGCAAACTAGAACACTTGCACTGTGTGGGAAAGACACTGGAGAGGTGTAAGAGGGGAAGTCTTATGCTACTACAACCTACAGCCATGCTAGTAGCTCTCTGAGGCTGCACCAAGATGGGAAACCACACTGGCTGTGGGTGTGGTATATTAAAGTGGCACAGAGCATCGTGTCCTCTTCACTATTAGATATTTCTCACACATTCCCAACAGATAGATCAAGTGGACGACCCACACATTAAAGGCTTTGTGGGAAAATCCTGTAACACAGTTAATAATTCATATAAAATGATTAACTAGAGGGTTATGTTTGCATTAATATTCATGAAAATATATAATCTATTACATGTGATATATTTTGGCAAGAGGTTGGCTTGTTTCGAGCCCTCAGCTTTTTCATAACTCTTGTTTTTACATTAGAAAATTAAAGCATTGTTTGATTCACTGTTTATCATGACTAAATAAAAGGATAGGATGAAAGAATAAAGAAATGCTTCAGGATGGCAAACAAGCTTTAGCCTAATGTGCTTTTTTACCTTTGCTGTGTGGAGAATTACAGCTGAAGTAGACAAGCTAGCAAGGCTAACGAAAACTAGTATACAGATAGCTGTGGCTGTATCCGCTGACCACATGACCCTCACATTGCAGGTCATAGCTGAATGCTAATGTCAGCATGTTAACGTACTTGCAATGCTAATATATATATAATGTTTACCGTGTTCATAGTGTTAGTTTTCGTGTGTTAGCATGCTAACGTTAGCTAATTAGCACTAGGCACAAAGTACAGTTGAGGCTGACGGGAATGCCATTAGTTTATTTGGTCATAAAACAAAATCTTGGACAAATTCAAATTTTAACCTGTATAATTAACATACTATAGTGTTCAGGCTCGACGAGTGCATTGATACCTGTAAGAGCTAACTAGTATAAGCCCTTTTACCCTTTCGGACAGGACACACGGAGTCAGCTGTAAAAACAGCAAGGAGGAAACATAAATAGACATATCAAATGTTCCCCATATTATATTGACCACATAAGGGAAAAAGCCATTAACCCAATGAGTAGCTACAACAAAATGTTTACTTTATGACATGATATAAAAGGAAAAAACCAGGGCAAAGTCAGTAAAGTCAGGACTGTACTGTATTAACACAATACTTAGTGACAGAGAAATATAATTAGGTACTTTAGGGATATTTTTCATGGTGATATTAGAATTAGAATGGTATAATAATACTATAATATAGAAATGATTTAAAACATATTCAGGTCACTGTAAAGCCACTAAACAAAATTTAAACTACTGGAACTACAATCTTAGGGGTATGATTAAGATTTATTTCAATTTGAAAATATACCCATAAATTTGTCATATGAAAACAATTATACAACCTTGAACATTTTTATCACAACAGGATCACACAAGTTGAACACCCACATCCCTGCAATACAAAGAATTGCCCTTAATTTACTTTTTTTTCCTAAACATTTAAAACATTTTTCAACAAAAAAACTAAACAATACAAGATTCCACTACAACTTTCAAATTGCCATCTATTAAATACCCAGAACCCCTCGGTGCCCCAGGGAAGAACCCGCACACGCTAGCTTGAAGTGGTGCGATCAAAGAAAAATGCAAGAGGGGAGAAATTCAACCTATAAATCTGTGAAGCTCAACTTTGTCTTGTCCCAAAGAGGGCACCGGCCAGTAAATCTTTGCCACTGTGTCTGGTCACCGACTCTTTTATATCATATCAAGGGATTTGTCTGGCAGGAAAATCTGCCCATGATTTATTATGTTATAAAATGGGTTTAACATGCCATTTCTATAGCTGGAAGCCTTTCCGGAGTAATAACACCACAGACCACTGCTATTTCACAGGAAAGTGAGCTCTGTTGTAAAGACAAAGCTCTGGATTCACACTGTAACTATTGTGTTTGTGTGTGTGTGTGTGTGTGTGTGTGTGTGTGTGTGTGTGTGTATGTGTGTGTGTGTTTAACATTTCCTTGAGTTTTGAAAAATCCCCATCTAATGTCAGAGTCATTCCAAGGGGGACGTTGACCTATTTCAAAATTTATGCAGCATTTCTCTTGAATATGATAATTGTGATTTTGCATACAAACATAGATCATCCTCTGTTTTACTCAACAGCAACAACACTGTTGTTACAATGATCGAACAAGAACAAAGGCCTGGAAAAAATGCTTTGGACCCTATCATTCATTTTAATTGTTCCGTCCAACAAGAAAGGCAATGCGTGCACATGCACAAAGAAACACACGAATGCAACATGCGCACACTGATGCACACACACATACACACATGCGCGCACACATGAACACGACACACGCCTTTCATACTGCAGCTAAGATGGGTATTAGACAATTTAGTCCTGACATGTTGCAGCAATGATAGCTCTACTGCCACGCAAAGGCGTCCCCTGTCACTCCCAGCGGCTCCCTCCTCCACCTTGATGTCATGGTGAGTCGACAACATCATTACTCATCACATCACCACTGAAACACATGCCTAGTGCAGCACTATCACTCTCATATTGATATGTTGGTTATAGTATTATATTCAATGTACTGTATGAGAACATTATTTCATATAAACACGTCCACAGTTTCATATATCACTTTTATATTCACATGTCCACTTTATCACTAGATCACCGTCATATTGACACCCACTATAATAGTACATCACTTTCTTTTGTCACAAATCCACTGTGTCATAGAAAAAAAATTTTTTCAGCTGATATGTGTGCACTGTGTTGTTGACGTTGTTATCATGTGCGTCAGTCTGCATCCTTTTCAAATCATTTTCATGTTGACCCGTCTTGGGCCACTTGTTTCTGTCACCTCGGCCGCTGCCCCGTTTGATTTGCGAGGGACATATTCAATATCAAAGTTGCTCTTATGACGTCCTTTCCCTCGGCTCCAGGCGAACAGAAGCAGGAAGCAGAATATGACCACACCTAGGAAGGACAGGCAGCCCATGGCTGTAGATATAATGATAGTCTTAATGTCTATGGGGACTGTCATGTTGTACAGTACTGTCCCATTCCCCCATGTGCTGTTAGAGTCTGTCAGATAGTTTGAGCTCCTGTTGCTATAGTGAGATCTGTCCCCAATGCCCAGGCTCTTCACAGCTAAAGAGGCTGACAGGCTAGCGTTGCCAGCAGGGTTACTGGCAATACACAAGTACACCCCGCTGTCATGCAGCTCCGCTGCCTTGATCTCCAGGGTGCCATCTGGTTGGACTTCCACCCTACCACTGCTCTTGGCTGTGATGTAGCGTCTGTGAGGTGTAATCCAGACCACAGAGGGCCGAGGTGCTCCCTCTGCCATGCAGCTCAAGCGGGCGGGCTGACCCTCATCAGCCATCAGCAGCTGTGTCGTGTTGGGTCCAATTCGTGGCCTGGTGCAGGTCATGTACCTAGACACCAGAGGCTCCCTGAGGTCACGCAGAGTTTTCCCCAGGAGGTGCTCGGGGGCACTGCACTCAGGCTGGACATCCAGAATCTGCAAAGAGGGGGGCTTGTGGCTATTGAGGAGCCAAAGCAATCTGCAGTCGCACACTAATGGATTTCCTCCAAGACAAAGCCTCTGGAGGCTGTCTGGTGAGGCAAACACTCCCCTCTCCAGAGAGTCCAGACGGTTCCGTGACACATCCAGTAGTTGCAAAGATTTGAGACCCACAAAAGCAAAGGGCTCGATAGAGACCAGCTGAGCCCCTTGTAGGCGGAGCTCCACCAGGTGTGGGAGTTGGCCTAGCTCTCCCTGATGGATGTGCTGGATGCGGCAGTAGGACAAGTTGAGATGTGTGAGGTAGGGCAGGTTGCGCAGCACTGCGCCAGGGAAGGCAGACAGGTTAGTGTTGGTTATGAACAACATTGTGAGGTTGAGTCCGTGCAGTGAGAGGGGAGGCAGTGTGTCCAGCCAGGGCCAGTAATCAATCTCCAGTTGGCGGAGCCGAGATAACCTTTTAAAGGAGAAAGGCTTTAGAAAACTAATACTCAGGTAGCGCATGCGCAGTTCGACCAGACTGTGCAGATGTGCCAGAGCATCAGTGGGGACCACGGTCAGATTGGACCGCTCCAGGGTCAGACTCTGGAGTCCCAGTAATCCTGTAAAAGCCCGCTGAGAGATGAAAACTAGTTCATTATCTCCCACCTCCAGGGATGACAACCTGCGCAGATCTTGGAAGGCATGATCCAAGAGGACCACCAGTCGGTTGTGGCTGAGGTCAAGGCGGGTGAGGTTGGTCAGACCTGACAGCACACCAGCAGGAACCAGCTGAAGCAAGTTGCTGCGGAAATTTAGCGAGCGGAGAGCAAGCTGAGAGCGAAATGAGCCCGGCTCGACCACGCTGATGAGGTTGTCGCTGAGATCCAGGTCCTCCAGCTGCTGGAATGAGGAGAAGTTGTCGGGCGTGATGATGCGTAGTTTGTTCTTACTGAGGTCCAGGACGCGCGTCTCAATGGGGATGCCTTCAGGGATGGTGGGCAGGCGCTTGCGGTGGCAACTGACCGACTTGCTTTGGGCAGAGCACTCACATCGGGCGGGGCAGCTCAGAGCTGAGCTGGCCAGGAGAAGCAGCAAGGCCCCGCCCAGGAAGAGGTGGCAGTGATGCGGGGCTGGGTGTCGCATGTCTCTTTTACCCACGTTGCCCTCTGTCATGGCACAGCTTCTTGTCCATACAGAGCACCATCACGAACAAGCCCTGCAAGACACAACACATGAACGAGGAAATGTGTTAGAATACGTCACACTAAACTCAACTCAGACTGTCTCACCCCCCCCACTTTCATTTTCCAACGACTTGGTGCCTTTCATGTTGGCTTAAACTGCCAAGTCTTTTCTCTCTTAATGAACTGTCCCTTTTCCTGGCACGGAGGATATAATGGAATTAAACTCACAGCAGGGCAAGACACAGCAAGAGAAATATCAGCTGCAGAAAAATGTGAACGTTCATTGCTGTGCTAACACAAAAGGTTGCAGGCTAACTGGAGATGCTTTATGAGGATGGAAGATGTTTTGTCTGGACGGCGAGAAATGACCCTCGTTAGAGTGCAGGGAGGCCAAATGCCCGTGTGGATTTGTTGTGTCTGTGTATTTTACATCCTAGATAATGGCGTACACAGTATATGTATATGTGTGTGTAGGGGGGCGGGGCAGCAAATGGAAATTGAGGCAAGTATTCAAACTAAAACACAAACTAAATAGGAAATGAAATGTCAGCTTGTGTTTGCTTCTACAAGTCAGTCCACAGAGATTACAGCAGCATTTGCCAGGAACACACAACCCCGGCAGGATGAATGGAAACAAATATATATGACTCTTTACTAAGTAATCAGCATCGTCTCACTGGCTCATTGTCTCATGTTGCACTGAAAACACTGAGTTTCTTTATTTATCACAAAGATTAGGCATCTACAGTACGTATCAATATGCATTAACATGTTTAATATTTCATAGTCAATAGGAAAAAAAAAAAACAAGTGATAAACACAGAAACTCTGAAGAATAACAGATGCATACATTTACATAATCCTCACAACAGTTTCTATTTGCTTCATCGCTTTATTGCTCCTCTAGTTTCCATTCTGCTGCTCGTTATTGCAAATGAAAGCTACTTCATAATCTATATATCTGGATTACTTTGGTCCCTGAAAGTTTACAACAGAAATCAGTCACGTTGTATGTGGTTTGTAGCTGTTTTCAACATTACTCACAGGCTAAATCCCGCTCTGGAGGAACACTACTGCAGTCACTGCTCTCTCTGTATGATGATGGAAAGAAAAAAAAAAAGTGTACTGTTGTGGCAGCACTTTTAGCTCCACATAATATGATAACTGCACTTTATAAAACTAAACTAACTTCGTGGCTCATTAGTTTCCCCGAGTAGGTTGAAGACTTCTTTGAATCAATAAATTTTTTCTTGAAATACTTCTGAGTGTTTTTTTATGATTTACTCATCTCTCTCTCATTCAGTTAACTTTATTCATGGGTGTTGTAATTTATTTTTACATTTTCTTCGTACACAAGAAATGTGGCTCCAGCTCCCAGCCGCTGTACTTGGGGAAGGGGGTGGGGGGTGGTGGTGGTGGTGGTGGTGGTGTTACGGAGAGAGAAGAGATAACGACAGGGTAATGAGGGAGAGAGTACAACTGTAAAACATTTTGTTCTCCGAGAGCCATGCCTCTCCACAGCTCGGGATGGCACAGCCCTTGACAGGAAAAAAAAAAGAGCAGAAAACCACCTCCTCGCAGCCACAGGTTGTTGAATTGACAGATGGCTATGCAGACAGAGTGGCTGACCATAATTGCCTCATTACCAGTTGTATCTGTATTCTGCTCATGGCTATCTTTGCCAATTAGGTGTGTAAAACATAAGTCACATCTGTGAGTGGTGGAAATTTGAATGCACTATCATAAAAGGTGCAGAAAAATGCCAGAAATATGAAAGACGCCTTTATGAAAAAAAAGAAGAAAAAAAAAGGAAGAGGCTTTCTGACTGCTTTGAAGAGCTCTGTCAATCACTGCTTAGCAAAATCCTGCCAAGGTAAGCAGATGATGAGCACACAGACAGACACACACCTTACTTTGATAGTGAAGTGAGTGACGTTCAGAAAATAGCCGAGATGAGGTGGAAGGAGTCGTAGAGAGAGCGCGCGCACAAACACACGCACACACACACACACACACACACTCTCTTTCCCACAGCACTCACCCCTCCGCCCGGCTCAGCAGCTGCACTACTCGCATCTCCGTATCTCTCCTCTTTTTTCCCCCCCTCTTCTTTCTACCGCTGTTTTATCTCTCCGTCCTCCTGTTCACACATCTTCCGCCTAACTCCTTTTCTCTCCCCGAGTCCTGCATAAGCCCCAGTCCGTTCATCAGTCCCTGCAGGCTGGGTTTTTATCGATCGCAGCGCAGACACATCAGATGCCTGGAATGTAGCCTTTAACAAAGAGCAGGCCGTTGCCACAGCAACTACAAACCCTTACTCCCATCCGCTCTATGTAGTCTGCCAATCAAATTAATGAAAAAAAAAAAAGAGGGGAAGAAATAGAGTAAGGAGGGTGACATTTCTTCATATTCCTTTAGTCCTTGCATGGAGAGAACACGCAAATTGAATACATTCCTGGAAATTCAGTTTCATTGGTATAGCGGAGCCTAGTTTAAGGTGTTTCCAAGCTGTCATCCTCACCGCCTTGCTATTTGTCGACCTGTCTTGTTGCCCATCCATCTGGTGCTCTGGTAACTATCTCTGTCCGTCTACCTTATTATCCGTCTACAAGCCTGCTTCTGTCTTTGTGTATTTATCAGTCTGCCTTTACCCGTCAGCCTCTGTTCCTCCCTGCCTCTCTGTTTAATAATTACAGTCCAGTTGTCTGTTGCTGCAGCGGGGAACTGGGCTGGTGATCTGTCGGAGAGTTGTGTGGCACTCAGCGTGCAGTCTTAACATGGCTCTGCGCAGAGAAAACACCACAGCCTCGTAAGTTATTTAAGCTCATAGCAGAAAAAAAAAAAAAAGAAGTAGGCTACATGATAAAACTGCTATTGCTGTGCTGGAGGATTTCTTTTGCTTCTCAGTTCAACTTTAAAAAGGTAAAATAAGTTTAGCTTCCCTGACAGGCCAATAAGAATTCTCATTTCTGAGCTGGAAATAGATTAGATTTGTCTTTCTGCATTTTAAAGCCTCCTATAAAAAAAAAAACTGACACATTTAGATTAAATATCATAAATCAAAATCTGTCCTGATCCAGATTTTCACAATGCAAATAAAAAAAAAAAAAAAAGATGATTCCTCATAGACTGTAAACTGTGTCCTTGGATTAAAATACTATTTCAGCACTCGTACAAGTGGATAACCTTGAAAAATGATGTAGCTTTGATTCTGCTGAAGACCAGAAGTCTGTTTGATGTCCCAATCCATGTAGCACACAGAGCACACTGTCCTCCCACTGCTTTCTTTCTTTGGGCTTTCAGTTGTTTGCCCTTAAGACACGTTTCTACGTCCTCACAATGACCCACTGATAGCTGATGACAGTTGACAGTATGTAATATAATATAATGTGTGATCCATCAAGTGTTTGTGTATGGGTCAGTGGTTTATACAAATGCAATTGTGGAGAAACAAATATCCAAGAAAAAGTAGTTTGACAATTGCAAATCCCTTAACTGTAACTAGCATTTTAGCAAGTCTTAGTCATTTAGGATTAAAAGAAATAATCTCAGGTCACTGCTGTAAAAATTGCTTTGGCTTAGTTCTTCTACTCTCTGTTATGTATTGTCTGGCACCTGGTCAGAATTAGCTGGAGATTAACTAGCTTGTTTTGACTAGAGCTCTGTTTTTCAAGCAAAACGGAGCTAAATCTTTTCAGGCTTTCTGGCAATGACAGGTGGTGGAAGGAGTGAGAGGCAGATGGGGACAAAAATCACTTCCAACATTTTAGGCAGTAAGAGCAGGAAGCTGCTAGTTCATGGGAAATGTGGTCCCAAATTCAAGAAACTACAGTATAACATCGAATAGCAGATATTTAAATGTGTCACATTTTAAAGGTGCGACAATTTATATAACTATGCAGAAAGTAACAGGTGTTGGTTGTGGGGACAAACAAACAAAGGTAATTACAATAATTACAACATGTAAAATTCTCTGTGCATCAACATTGTTTTCCAGCCACAACAGGAAGCTATTTACTGCAAAAATATTCAGCTAAACTCCCTGTATGCTACCTTCCCGGCACCAAATGCATTCATAGCATAGCATCTGAAGAGACAGGCATTTCGCTGAGTAGTTGATGGAGACCAAAACAAAGCTAGAACAAGAGTAGTAGATATTGGACTTAGATTGGCTAGAGCACCAGAAGACGTAATGTTAATTAATTTCCATGCCCTATGCCTGCTGGATAAGTACATAATCTTTTCGCTAATATGTTCACAATATCAACATTATATGGTGATGGTATTAAATCGTCAAAAATGATTAATGCAATGTACAGACTTGAAGTTTGTCCATGGCACATCACCGCCATATGACTCTACACCCTGACTGGCCTATTTGTATACAGCCATGGCTCTGACAGCCTGACCCAGGCTGACCTAGGTGGCACACATACAGTACTGTAGTGGCCATATCTACTCTCCCTTTGAGCTCTACCATATTTTTAGAAACACTCGGAGCCAAGCGTGTCATGGGCAAGATGGAAAACATACAGGATCCCACAGAATTCTGGGTAAATGGTAATGGTGAGGAGGGTCATTGAGAAGGGCAGCCGTTTTGGGCATTTTGGGATTTGGTTCTGAATTGGATTAGAGTCAAAGTGAAACTGTAGAAAATCTGACAGCCGAAAAGGAGCTGTAGGGTGATGCATGAGTCACTGTGAGAGTGAGAGCGAGAAGAGGGAAAAATAAGAGAGCAGAGTATAAGATAAAGCAGAAATACATGAAGAAATGAGGAAAGCCACGCTTACGAGATTTGATAAAACCCTTGTTTGCTTGGGTTGACTGTGATTTCTAATGTGATTTTAACCAAGTAAAGCTTGAGAAACTGATTACAGCTCTTCCAGGAGATCTCCATAATACTCAAGCAATGCTCTGTGCGCATGTTGATTTTAATCTGTAGGCATATCTGTCAAGATGAGCGCCATTAAATCCCTGTTCATTATCACTCCACTTTCTAAACCTGTGGCCTTTGACAGGAGCAGAGCAAATA